ATACAACTCTGCTACTGTAATATTGTACAATCTAACTTCTGGAATGATTCATTCTCTCCCTACCTATTTCAATATCATGAAATCTGTTAAGCATGTGATGCAATTTGACTTGTTTCTCACTGTTATTTGTTGCTCTTGAGTCTGGACGAGTCTTGGTGTATCTATCTAGGAATTTAGCACCATCATCATTCACTACCCCCTTTAACATTTTAAGAACTTATTTCATCCAAAATCATTTCTTCTTCTTCTTCTTCCCTTTTTTTTTTTTTATTGTATTTGTTTTGTAATGTACCCCCCTAAGTCACCTAATTGTTTTTCAGGGAGTAATGTGAAGATAGCCACAGCTCCATCCAGCGTGGTGGTGCTAACAGATGATAACTTTGGTGAGATTGTACTTGATGAAACCAAGGATGTTTTGGTTGAGTTTAATGCACCATGGTAAGCGTGCATTCTTTTTTCTTCATTGATGCTTTCTGTCACTTAAGCAAAGGTACTTCTGCGTATGCAAGACCTTGTCTAATTCTCCCATATTGAAACCAAGCTTTTATGAGACTATCATTAAGTAATAACATTTTTGACATAGATAAAGTGGCCCTGCATCTGAATTCTTCAAAGTAGTACATTTTGCCATTTTTTTTATTTTTATTCTTATCCTTTTTCACTAAGTGTGTTCCTATTAGTTGATTTGTCTGTCTGCTTGTTACAGGTGTGGCCATTGTAAAAACCTTGCTCCTGTAAGCATGCCTATTCGTTTGTGATATAATTTGGCATGATTTTTTTTTCAAATGGTTATCTCCTTTAACTCTTGCTTTGCCTGGGCAGACCTATGAGAAGGTAGCAACAGCATTTAAACAGGAAGAAGATGTGGTTATTGCTAATCTAGATGCTGATAAATACAAGGATTTAGCTGAAAAGTAAGTTAAAATTTAATCTGTGAGCTTAGTTATCTAGTATAATGGTTGTAAGTAGAAAATAAAAACCTGTTAAAAGCCTAAAAATTAAAATTTTCATTGATCTTAGGAACGGAGTCAATGTTACACTTGTGGTGCGTGAGTGCAGGGTTGAAGTAAGCAGGTTGGACCCAACGCTGAAATTCTTTCCAAAGGGCAACAAAGCTGGTGAAGAATTTGAGGGTGGAAGGGATTTAGAAGACTTTGTTGCTTTCATCAATGAAAAATGTGGTACAAGTCGTGATGGAAAAGGACAGCTTACATCAAAAGTTAGCAACTTATCATAGCTATCTGTCGCATTGAGTTTTAATCTTTCTTCTGTATGTAACTCTATTACCCATTCTTATTTCTGATAGGCTGGTACAGTGTCAAGCTTAGATGCATTGGTGAAGGACTTTATAGCTGCTGCCGATGGTGAGAAAAAAGCAGTCTTTTCCAAGATAGAGGAGGAAGTTGAGAAGCTCAAGGGTTCTACTGCAAGGTACTAATTTGGTTAGCCTTTAATTTCTGAATTAATAATCTTTGAATTGATTGAAGCAGATCCACATTTCCTGGGTTGATTGCATTTTTTTTCTATTTCTCATATAACTACTTTTCCTAGCACCAAAAAATATATATATAAAAGTACTTTTCTAACTGTTTTATCTCGTTTTGTCAGACATGGAAAGATTTATTTGAAAGCTGCTAAAAGTTGTTTGGAGAAAGGTGCTGATTATCCCAAGAAAGAAATCGAGCGCCTCCATCGCATGCTTGA